GTCGGGTCGGACTAAAGGCCTTGTCTGCTTCCTTGAGCCTTGAAGATCCTCAGGAAGGTCAGCAGGAAGTGTGTTTACTCCTGCTGGACGAGCAAAGGGTCTTGTCTGCCTGAAATCCTCTGGGAGTTCTGCTGGAGTTTCAATTCCCACTGGACGGGAAGAGGCTTCGTCTGCTTGATAAAAGAAGGGTGTCGGGGCTGGATCTGTGGGCGCTGGAAGGGCGGAACGTCCGCTCGAGCAGGTCTGGTCTGCCTCAGGTCGTCAGGCAGAAGAGCCGGTAGAGTGCGCACGCCCTCATGGCCGGGGCGGGGCAGAGGACGCAGCATTCCGGCCGGAGGCCGTTCAGCTCGGAAGGGAGCGACGCACAGTGCGGCGAACAAGGCCACGATACAAACGGCCTTCATCACTGCTCTCTTGGACGAAGTGTTTGCCTGAGGAGGAACGGGCGTCGAGTGCGACACTGGGGGCGCTTGGCGCTCCTATTTAGCTGGCTGACGGCACAGGGAGCGTGGGAAAGGCGGGCACCTCCGGTCGCGCATCCTGGAGCTCTTGCGAGATGGGAAACCTGAATGTTATTGAAAAGGAAAACAGACACAAGATATATTCTGCTACTATTTCGGTTTATTCGTTTGAAGAGGAACTCGTGAGTTCAAAACGATATTTTTTCATTTCTTATTGTAGCTGTTTACCTTTTCATCTTTGTCAACATCTTACTGTGTTTGTGCTTGTGTATTTTGTTTGAAATGCACATATGAGTGGGATAAGAGAGGAGCGTCGTGTCGCGAAAAGTGTTTATTTCTAACACTTGAATTACTTGAAGATTTTTTTATACTGCCACACTCACAAGATGAAGGAATAATAAACACACATGCAGATTATTTTATTCCATATATATATATACATATATATGTATATTTATATAGGAAGAAACTCTATCAGTTAAACCGACATGCAAGTGAACCGCAGTCATGTTCATCGTTACTGTTCTTTTTATTATCGTAATCATTGACAACAAATCAATTTCTCACAAGTGTTGTTATTTTGTTATAAAGGAATTACACGTTCGTTCCAGGGAAATAAATCTGCTCACTCCACCTTACCTTTCCGCCGAGGGGAGGGGGGGGGGTTGTCCAATGCAGAAATCAAAAGAGACAATTTTATATACAAGGATGAGAGTGACAGAAAAGTTCTTTATGTGTATATTATATTTCTGTTTCCCTGTACACACTCTAATGCATACAAACACACATATAAGTGTTTGTTTGTTTGCGTGTATTTGTTTGTGTGTTTGTCCGTGTTTATTTGCAAGTTTGTTTTTTGTGTGTGTTTGTTTGCGTTCATGTTTTCGTTTATTCACGTGCTTGTTTTGTTTGTGTGTGTGTGTTTGCGTGTGTATATGTTTATTTGCGTATGTGTGTCTTAAGTCTGTGCTTGAAAACATACAGAATTGTCATATTCCTGTCTACTGTCTAATTTCTCGTATATATACAGTATATGTATGTTTGTATATACATGTGTATATATATTATATATATAATACATATAATATATATAATATATACAATATATATAACATATGTAATATATATAATATATATACAATTTATATAATGTATATAATATACAAATATATGTATCCTCTATTTGACAGAGAAAAGATGTAATATATAATTCTCAAATGTGAATTGCGACCGATCCAAACCGGTCTGTTTAGACAGATGGCGTCGCAAAACTCATCTGAAAGTCCGAACGCGTCCGCCTGATGAACGCCCCCCCTCCCCCCGGCAGACACACCCTCGCCTCCTGCTTCGTGTGGCGGCAAAGTTGTTCTGTCGCCTTCATGCTGGGATTTACCTGCTTGGTGTTTTGCCTTTTATTTCCTTTCATTTGCGGGTATGTCTCTTCCTCCTGCAATTCCCAGCTGGTTATCGATAGAGACATGTTCTGCAATGACGATAAAATCCGCTTGTATTGAGAAACATTGCTGGTATTTTCCTTACGGTAAATCCTTTTAAAGTACTGCTAAATATAATGATAATGCCAATAAAGGTAATAATTATGGAAATAATGTTTACACTGAATCGTCAAATGCCACGAAATAAATTGTATTAAAAAAAAAATGCTATTTTTGTAACAACACTATTTCCCGAGATTTGTTTACTTCAGGAGGTCATTATATTGCATTACTTGTATGTAATCAACTTTGTCCAAGCATATCGGTGTGATATGAATCCATTTTATGGAATCCAATATTTCTTAAGCATACGATTGTAAATCTCATACTTGTGTACACTTCATTGAAATCTCGAAACTACACTATCTTGTAGTAATAGTCTCATTTTTTCCCCAACGGCAGTGTGTATGTTTAAAGATCCTTATGATTTACAGTTATGCAATGAATTAAATTTCTGTATCGTTTTTGGAATAAAACATGTGACATGCTAAAACTATCCACTCTAGTTTCAGGTACAAAAAAAAATGAGAATTTGCAGTAAATCAACTCGTTTTCTATAAAATGCAATAATATAATTTATGAATAACATGTACTTCAGCACATATTATATAAACCATGTATCTCTCTCTAAGTATATTTTCCCCGGCAAATGTAAGGACAATTATATATATACATATGTATGTGTATATGTATGTATATATACATATATCTGTAAGATTTTCACAAATTTCGTTTTGTTCATGCTACATTATTTGTGGTATGATAGGTTCAAAGTATTCCGTCTCTCGCAGTTATGAGGTTATATATACACATATAAGGTTTTAAAATATTATATTTGTGTGTATTATGCTGAAATGATTTCATGTAGCATATTCCCAAATGTTTGGCGTCACAAACACTCATATACATTACTGAAAAGACTCGTTCTGTTTATGTTACATAATCTGTGGGTAGTGACACTATGATTATCCACCTAATCAATAAATGAAAAAGCCAAACAGTCATCAATATTGACAATAATAAGAGTCACAGGATGTCATCTGTCGCCCTGCAGCCACGAAGTTCCTCAACAGCAGAGGTTCCACCGCTTGCAACAGGCTCCTCGGCGAACGAAGGGCAGTCGCTCGCAGCTCTGGCAGATCTCGGCTGTGGATGTCATGCGTTTCTTATTAGTATGGCTAACTGGTTATCTGTATGCGTCTGATTGATGTTTATTAAATGGTGTTTCAGTTACGTGTATTCTATTATTAAGTTTAATTGTTGGAATAGTGAAATATATTCATTCAGCCATTCATGTTTACAGACATATACTCAGCTGGGTATAATTTGTCTATGAAATGTCTAAATTACTCCCAGCTAGATATTTACTTTAGTAAACATCACCTTTCCCGACGGGGACGGGGTGCATTTAGAAGAGAAAGACAACTTTCGCTCCAAACTCACCTTCGCCCTGAGGCACATGGAGAGACCAAGGATTAGGGCGCTGGAGAGATGGGACTGGAGGACGAGCAAAGGGCCTTGTCTGCTTGAGATCCCCCGGAAGTTCTACCGGACGAGGCAGAGGCTTCGTTTGCTTGGTGAAAGATGGGTGTTGGGGCTGGATCTGAGGTCGCTGGAAGGAAGGGACGTCGGGGCGGACAAACGGTCTTGTCTGCTTCCTTGAGCCTCGAAGATCCTCAGGAAGGTCAGCAGGAAGTGTGTTTACTCCTGCTGGACGAGCAAAGGGTCTTGTCTGCTTGAGATCCTCTGGGAGTTCTGCTGGCAGAGTTTCAACTCCCACTGGACGGGGAAGAGGCTTCGTCTGCATGAGAAAGGAAGGGTGTCGTGGCTGGATCTGAGGTCGCTGGAAGGAAGGGACGTCGGGTCGGACAAAAGGCCTTGTCTGCTTCCTTGAGCCTTGAAGATCCTCGGGAAGGTCAGCAGGAAGTGTGTTTACTCCTGCTGGACGAGCAAAGGGTCTTATCTGCCTGAAATCCTCTGGGAGTTCTGCTGGCAGAGTTTCAACTCCCACTGGACGGGGAAGAGGCTTCGTCTGCTTGATAAAAGAAGGGTGTCGGGGCTGGATCTGTGGGCGCTGGAAGGGCGGAACGTCTGGTCGAGCAGGTCTGGTCTGCCTCAGGTCGTCAGGCAGAAGAGCCGGTAGAGTGCGCACGCCCTCATGGCCGGGACGGGGCAGAGGACGCAGCATTCCGGCCGGAGGCCGTTCAGCTCGGAAGGGAGCGACGCACAGTGCGGCGAACAAGGCCACGATACATACGGCCTTCATCACTGCTTTCTTGGACGAAGTGTTTGCCTGAGGAGGAACGGGCGTCGAATGCGACACTGGGGGCGCTTGGCGCTCCTATTTAGCTGGCTGACGGCGCAGGGACCGTGGGAAAGGCGGCCACCTCCGGTCGCGCATCCTGGAGCTCTTGCGAGATGGGAAACCTGAATGTTTTTGAAAAGGAAAACACACACAAGATATATTGTGCTACCATTTCGGTTTATTCGTTTGAAGAGGAACTCGTGAGTTCAAAACGATATTTTTTCATTTCTTATTGTGGCTGTTTACCTTTTCATCTTTGTCAACATCTTACTGTGTTTGTGCTTGTGTATTTTGTTTGAAATGCACATATGAGTGGGATAAGAGAGGAGCGTCGTGTCGCGAAAAGTGTTTATTTCTAACACTTGAATTACTTGAAGATTTTTTTATACTGCCACACTCACAAGATGAAGGAATAATAAGCACACATGCAGATTATTTTATTCCATATATATATGTATATATGTATATTTATATAGGAAGAAACTTTATCAGTTAAACCTACATGCAAGTGAACCGCAGTCATGGTCATCGTTACTGTTCTTTTTATTATCGTAATCATTGACAACAAATCAATTTCTCACAAGTGTTGTTATTTTGTTATAAAGGAATTACACGTTCGTTCCAGTGAAATAAATCTGCTCACTCCACCTTACCTTTCCGCCGGGGGGAGGGGGGGGTGTCCAATGCAGAAATCAACAGAGACAATTTTATATACAAGGATGAGAGTGACAGAAAAGTTCTTTATGTGTGTATTATATTTCTGTTTCCCTGTACACACTCTTAAGCATACAAACACACATATATGTGTTTGTTTGTTTGCGTGTATTTGTTTGTTTGTGTGTTTGTCCGCGTGTTTGTTTATTTACAATTTTGTTTTTTTTGTGTGTTTGTTTGCGTGCATGTGTTCGTTTATTTACGTGTTTGTTTTGTTTGTGTGTGTTTAAGTGCGTGTGTGTTTGCGTGTGCATGTGTTTATTTGCGTATGTGTGTGTTAAGTCTGTGCTTGAAAGCATACAGAATTGTCATATTCCTGTCTACTGTCTAATTTCTCGTATATATACAGTATATGTATGTATGTATATACATATGTATATATATGATATATATATAATGTATATATATAATATATATAATATATATAATGTATATAATGTATATATAATATATAATATATATAATATATGAATATATGTATACTCTATTTGACAGGGGAAAAGTGTAATATATAATCTTTAAATGTGAATTGCGACCGATCCAAACCGGTCTGTTCGGACAGATGGCGTCGCAAAACTCATCTGAAAGTCCGAACGCGTCCGCCTGATGAACGCCCCCCCCCCCTCCTGGCAGACACACCCTCGCCTCCTGCTTCTGTTCTGCCGCCTTCATGCTGGGATTTACCTGCTTGGTGTTTTGCCTTTTATTTCCTTTCATTTGCGGGTATGTCTCTTCCTCCTGCAATTCCCAGTTGGTTATCGATAGAGGCATGTTCTGCAATGACGATAAAATCAGCTTGTATTGAGAGACATTGCTGGTATTTTCCTTACGGTAAATCCTTTTAAAGTACTGCTAAATATAATGATAATGCCAATAAAGGTAATAATTATGGAAATAATGTTTACACTGAATCGTCAAGTGTCACGAAATAAATTGTAATAAAAAAAAACTATTTTTGTAACAACACTATTTCCCGAGAATTGTTTACTTCAGGAGATCATTATATTGCATTACTTGTAGGTAATTAACTTTGTCCAAGCATATCGGTGTGATATGAATCCTTTTTACGGAATCCAATATTTCTTAAGCATACGATTGTAAATCTCATACTTGCATACACTTCATTGAAATCTCGAAACTACACTATCTTGTAATAATAGTCATATTTTTTCCCAACGGCTGTGTGTGTATGTTTAGAGTCTCATTTTTTTCCCAACGGCTGTGTGTGTATGTTTAGAGATCCTTATGATTTACAGTGCAGTAAATCAACTTGTTTTCTACAAAATGCACTAATATAATTTATGAATAACATGTACTTCAGCACATATTATATAAACCATGTATCTCTCTCTAAGTATATTTTTCCCGGCAAATGTAAGGACAATTATATATATACATATGTATGTATGTATGTATATATACATATATCTGTAAGATATTCACAAATTTCGTTCTGTTCATGTTACATAATTTGTGGTATGATAGGTTCAAAGTATTCCGTCTCTCGCAGTTATGAGGTTATTTATACACATATAAGATTTTAAAATATTATATTTGTGTGTATTATGCTGAAATGATTTCATGTAGCATATTCCCAAATGTTTGGCGTCACAAACACTCATATAGATTACTGAAAAGACTCGTTCTGTTTATGTTACATAATCTGTGGGTAGTGACACTATGATTATCCACCTAATCAATAAATGAAAAAGCCAAACAGTCATCAAAATTGACAATAATAAGAGTCACAGGATGTCATCTGTCGGCCTGCAGCCACGAAGTTCCTCAACAGCAGAGGTTCCACCGCTTGCAACAGGCTCCTCGGCGAACGAAGGGCAGGCGCTCGCAGCTCTGGCAGATCTCGGCTGTGGATGTCATGCGTTTCTTATTAGTATGGCTAACTGGTTATTTGTATGCGTCTGATTGATGTTTGTTAAATGGTGTTTCAGTTACGTGTATTCTATTATTAAGTTTAATTGTTGGAATAGTGAAATACTATATTCATGCAGCCATTCATGAGTCAGCTGGGAATAATTTGTCTATGAAATGTCTAAATTACTCCAAGCTAGATATTTACTTTAGTAAACATCACCTTTCCCGACGGGGACGGCGTGCATTTAGAAGAGAAAGACAACTTTGGCTCCAAACTCACCTTCGCCCTGAGGCACATGGAGAGACCAAGGATTAGGGCGCTGGAGAGATGGGACTGGAGGACGAGCAAAGGGCCTTGTCTGCTTGAGATCCTCCGGAAGTTCTACCGGACGAGGCAGAGGCTTCGTTTGCTTGGTGAAAGATGGGTGTTGGGGCTGGATCTGAGGTCGCTGGAAGGAAGGGACGTCGGGGCGGACAAAAGGCCTTGTCTGCTTCCTTGAGCCTCGAAGATCCTCAGGAAGGTCAGCAGGAAGTGTGTTTACTCCTGCTGGACGAGCAAAGGGTCTTGTCTGCCTGAAATCCTCTGGGAGTTCTGCTGGCAGAGTTTCAACTCCCACTGGACGGGGAAGAGGCTTCGTCTGCATGAGAAAGGAAGGGTGTCGTGGCTGGATCTGAGGTCGCTGGAAGGAAGGGACGTCGGGGCGGACAAAAGGCCTTGTCTGCTTCCTTGAGCCTCGAAGATCCTCAAGAAGGTCAGCAGGAAGTGTGTTTACTCCTGCTGGACGAGCAAAGGGCCTTGTCTGCTTGAGATCCCCCGGAAGTTCTACCGGACGAGGCAGAGGCTTCGTTTGCTTTGTGAAAGATGGGTGTTGGGGCTGGATCTGAGGTCGCTGGAAGGAAGGGACGTCGGGGCGGACAAAAGGCCTTGTCTGCTTCCTTGAGCCTCGAAGATCCTCAGGAAGGTCAGCAGGAAGTGTGTTTACTCCTGCTGGGCGAGCAAAAGGTCTTGTCTGCCTGAAATCCTCTAGGAGTTCTGCTGGCAGAGTTTCAACTCCCACCGGACGGGGAAGAGGCTTCGTCTGCTTGATAAAAGAAGGGTGAAGGGGCTGGATCTGTGGGCGCTGGAAGGGCGGAACGTCTGGTCGAGCAGGTCTGGTCTGCCTCAGGTCGTCAGGCAGAAGAGCCGGCAGAGTGCGCACGCCCTCATGGCCGGGGCGGGGCAGAGGACGCAGCATTCCGGCCGGAGGCCGTTCAGCTCGGAAGGGAGCGACGCACAGTGCGGCGAACAAGGCCACGATACAAACGGCCTTCATTACTGCTTTCTTGGACGAAGTGTTTGCCTGAGGAGGAACGGGCGTCGAATGCGACACTGGGGGCGTTTGGCGCTCCTATTTAGCTGGCTGACGGCGCAGGGAGCGTGGGAAAGGCGGCCACCTCCGGTCGCGCATCCTGGAGCTCTTGCGAGATGGGAAACCTGAATGTTTTTGAAAAGGAAAACAGACACAAGATATATTGTGCTACCATTTCGGTTTATTCGTTTAAAGAGGAACTCGTGAGTTCAAAGCGATATTTTTTCATTTCTTATTGTGGCTGTTTACCTTTTCATCTTTGTCAACATCTTACTGTGTTTGTGCTTGTGTATTTTGTTTGAAATGCACATATGAGTGGGATAAGAGAGGAGCGTCGAGTCGCGAAAAGTGTTTATTTCTAACACTTGAATTACTTGAAGATTTTTTTATACTGCCACACTCACAAGACGAAGGAATAATAAACACACATGCAGATTATTTTATTCCATATATATATATATATATATATATATGTATATTTATATAGGAAGAAACTTTATCAGTTAAACCTACATGCAAATGAACCGCAGTCATGGTCATCGTTACTGTTCTTTTTATTATCGTAATCATTGACAACAAATCAATTTCTCACAAGTGTTGTTATTTTGTTATAAAGGAATTACACGTTCGTTCCAGCGAAATAAATCTGCTCACTCCACCTTACCTTTCCGCCGGGGGGAGGGGGGGGATGTCCAATGCAGAAATCAACAGAGACAATTTTATATACAAGGATGAGAGTGACAGAAAAGTTCTTTATGTGTGTATTATATTTCTGTTTCCCTGTACACACTCTAAAGCATACAAACACACATATAAGTGTTTGTTTGTTTGCGTGTATTTGTCTGTTTGTGTGTTTGTCCGCGTGTTTGTTTATTTGCAAGTTTGTATTTTGTGTGTGTTTGTTTGCGTGCATGTGTTCGTTTATTTACGTGTTTGTTTTGTTTGTGTGTGTGTGTTTGCGTGTGTATATGTTTATTTGCGTATACGTGTGTTAAGTCTGTGCTTGAAAGCAAACGGAATTATCATATTCCTGTCTACTGTCTAATTTCTCGTATATATACAGTATATGTATGTTTGTTTATACATGTGTATATATATAATATATATGTATAATGTGTATATATTATATATAATACATATAATATATATAATATATACAATATATATAACATATAATATATATAATATATATATAATTTATATAATGTATATAATATACAAATATATGTATCCTCTATTTGACAGAGAAAAGATGTAATATATAATTCTCAAATGTGAATGGCGACCGATCCAAACCGGTCTGTTCGGACAGATGGCGTCGCAAAACTCATCTGAAAGTCCGAACGCGTCCGCCTGATGAACGCCCCTCCTGGCAGACACACCCTCGCCTCCTGCTTCTGTTCTGCCGCCTTCATGCTGGGATTTACCTGCTTGGTGTTTTGCCTTTTATTTCCTTTCATTTGCGGGTATGTCTCTTCCTCCTGCAATTCCCAGCTGGTTATCGATAGAGACATGTTCTGCAATGACGATAAAATCAGCTTGTATTGAGAAAGATTGCTGGTATTTTCCTTACGGTAAATCCTTTTAAAGTACTGCTAAATATAATGATAATGCCAATAAAGGTAATAATTATGGAAATAATGTTTACACTGAGTCGTCAAATGTCACGAAATAAATTGTATTAAAAAAAAAAAAAAATGCTATTTTTGTAACACGATTTCTCGAGATATGTTTACTTCAGGAGGTCATTATATTGCATTACTTATATGTAATCAACTTTGTCCAAGCATATCGGTGTGATATGAATCCATTTTATGGAATCCAATATTTCTTAAGCATGCGATTGTAAATCTCATACTTGTATACACTTCATTGAAATCTCGAAACTACACTATCTTGTAATAATAGTCTCATTTTTCCCCCAACGGCTGTGTGTGTATGTTTAGAGATCCTTATGATTTACAGTGCAGTAAATCAACTTGTTTTCTATAAAATGCACTAATATAATTTATGAATAACATGTACTTCAGCACATATTATATAAACCATGTATCTCTCTCTAAGTATATTTTCCCCGGCAAATGTAAGGGCAATTATATATATGCATATGTATGTGTGTATGTATGTATATATACATATATCTGTAAGATTTTCACAAATTTCGTTTTGTTCATGTTACATAATTTGTGGTATGATAGGTTCAGAGTATTCCGTCCCTCGCAGTTAAGTTATGAGGTTATATATACACATATAAGATTTTAAAATATTATATTTGTGTGTATTATGCTGAAATGATTTCATGTAGCATATTCCCAAATGTTTGGCGTCACAAACACTCATATTGATTACTGAAAAGACTCGTTCTGTTTATGTTACATAATCTGTGGGTAGTGACACTATGATTATCCACCTAATCAATAAATGAAAAAGCCAAACAGTCATCAAAATTGACAATAATAAGAGTCACAGGATGTCATCTGTCGCCCTGCAGCCCCGAAGTTCCTCAACAGCAGAGGTTCCACCGCTTGCAACAGGCTCCTCGGCGAACGAAGGGCAGTCGCTCGCAGCTCTGGCAGATCTCGGCTGTGGATGTCATGCGTTTCTTATTAGTATGGCTAACTGGTTATCTGTATACGTCTGATTGATGTTTATCAAGTGGTGTTTCAGTTACGTGTATTCTATTATTAAGTTTAATTGATGGAATAGTGAAATATACTCATTCAGCCATTCATGTTTACAGACATATACTCAGCTGGGAATAATTTGTCTATGAAATGTCTAAATTACTCCAAGCTAGATATTTACTTTAGTAAACAAACCTTTCCCGATGGGGACGACGTGCATTTAGAAGAGAAAGACAACTTTCGCTCCAAACTCACCTTCGCCCTGAGGCACATGGAGAGACCAAGGATTAGGGCGCTGGAGAGATGGGACTGGAGGACGAGCAAAGGGCCTTGTCTGCTTGAGATCCCCCGGAAGTTCTACCGGACGAGGCAGAGGCTTCGTTTGCTTGGTGAAAGATGGGTGTTGGGGCTGGATCTGAGGTCGCTGGAAGGAAGGGACGTCTGGGCGGACAAAAGGCCTTGTCTGCTGCCTTGAGCCTCGAAGATCCTCAGGAAGGTCAGCAGGAAGTGTGTTTACTCCGGCTGGACGAGAAAAGGGTCTTGTCTGCCTGAAATCCTCTGGCAATTCTGCTGGCAGAGTTTCAACTCCCACTGGACGGGGAAGAGGCTTCGTCTGCATGAGAAAGGACGGGTGTCGGGGCTGGATTTGAGGTCGCTGGAAAGAAGGGACGTCGGGGCGGACAAAAGGCCTTGTCTGCGTCCTTGAAGCTTGAAAATCCTCAGGAAGGTCAACAGGAAGTGTATTTACTCCGACTGGGCGAGCAAAGGGTCTTGTCTGCCTGAAATCCTCTGGGAGTTCTGCTGGCAGAGTTGCCACTCTGAGAGGACGAGGCAGTGGTTTCGTCTGCATGAGAAAGGACGGGTGTCGGGGCTGGATCTGAGGGCGCTGGAAGGATGGGACGTCGGGGCGGACAAAAGGCCTTGTCTGCTTCCTTGAGCCTCGAAGATCCTCAGGAAGGTCAGCAGGAAGTGTGTTTACTCCTGTTGGACGAGCAAAGGGTCTTGTCTGCCTGAAATCCTCTGGGAGTTCTGCTGGTAGAGTTTCAACTCCCACCGGACGGGGAAGAGGCTTCGTCTGCTTGATAAAAGAAGGGTGTCGGGGCTGGATCTGTGGGCGCTGGAAGGGCGGAACGTCTGGTCGAGCAGGTCTCGTCTGCCTCAGGTCGTCAGGCAAAAGAGCCGGCAGAGTGCGCACGCCCTCATGGCCGGGGCGGGGCAGAGGACGCAGCACTTCGGGCGGTGGCCGTTCAGCTCGGAAGGGAGCGACGCACAGTGCGGCGAACAAGGCCACGATACAAACGGCCTTCATCACTGCTCTCTTGGACGAAGTGTTTGCCTGAGGAGGAACGGGCGTCGAGTGCGACACTGGGGGCGCTTGGCGCTCCTATTTAGCTGGCTGACGGCACAGGGAGCGTGGGAAAGGCGGGCACCTCCGGTCGCGCATCCTGGAGCTCTTGCGAGATGGGAAACCTGTATTATGTGTCCATTATATACAAACGAGGGGAAAAGAAAAATGGAATGTTTCTCAAAAATAATTTATCTCTAACACGGATTACTAAATAAAAAAAAAAAAAAAAATGTATATATATATACTGCTCACACACAAGATGAAAGAAAAAAGATGCAGATAATAGAAGAACAGCAGTAATCATTTATAGTTTTGTGTTTCTTATCTTATAATCATGACATAAAATCAAAGTATCATGGCCGGCGTTATTGTGTGATACAGAAATAACAGCATTGGTTCTATAAAAATCCCGCTCAATCCAACCCACTCTCTCGGAGGAGGATGGAGAGCGTGCAACCATAGAAAAAAAAGTGCAAGGGACTCACTGGAGAGAGATTTAGATACAGAGATGACACAGGCAGTAAATTATCAGTTGTGTCGGTATTACATATCGTGTCCTCCCCCCACCCTCCCATTTATATGGACCTGTAAGTGTGTGGATGGATACACGCGCACGCACACACACACACACACACCACACACACAACACACACACACACATCACACTGACACACACTGACACACAGACACACACAGGGCGCGCATATATATATGAATGTGTGTCTGTATTTATATGTAATTCACTACATACATAATATGTATATCAATATGGTATTCTGTCCTTTCCCTCATATAGATGTGTGTGCCAAAAAATGGGGAATTTTAAAACACGCGCACACAACACAAGCATATATAATGAATGTTGTGCATTTATATGTATAGTTCACAACATACACATACATAATAATGTATCTCTATAAACATTTAATACATAGTTGTGTAAGTATATATACATCTACATATGTATATATCTACTCTAGATAATGCATATATACCACATATATGCATTCTAATTGACAGGAAAATTGTACTATAGAATACGAACAAGCAACCGACATTATTTATCGCGTGAAGATCCTACGGTCTAGTAAAGGTGCACTAGTAGCGCTGGCAGCACCCAATCCCTCGTGCTTCGTAGGGCGGCAGTGTTTCTGTTCGACCTTTACGCTGTGTTTACAGATTAACGTTTATCACAGCTCTTTTTTGTGTATTTCCGAAACTCCAAACACTTTGAGATTTTGTCAAATTGTCCCTTTAGCGCACAGTAAACACTCTTTTCGTTAGTATCCTCAAGGTTTGATACTAAGTGAGACATTCCCAGGAAGCCAAAAAAGAGCAATGCACTTTAAGTTATTTCACTCACGTCCTCAACATCTATCGTTTTCACTTATTTACGAATAGCATCGTATGTTTCTTAATAATAAAACTCATACTTAAAAAAAAAAAAAAAAAAATGTTCTCCGCCTTAATAGTAGTAATCAAATATATATTGGCTTTATTATATACTAACGGTAAAATTTGAATCAATCAGAAAATCGCTGAACTATAATGGCCAGCTTAAGGATTCTGAGTAACGCGTAATCAACAGGAAACCGAATTAGTAAATTGATTGTCATGACCAATTTATCAGACTTCACTCTACCATAGCAAGATAATTGTAAAATATTATGCTTAAGGAAATAGGTACAAAGAATTTATTGTGAGGTAGAAAAGAAAGCCCAATATTTTCTTTTGTGCACGAATTGTTCTTGGAAACACTTCGTGGGCTTTCTCTTCCGGCTGGCTTCGTTAAAAAGCTGTTATTGGCAGTCTTAAATACAGTAGAAATTGAAGAATTGTCATAACATGCCTTTCTTTTTTTAAAATGTTCGTAAGTCTCCTCTCCTCAGAGGTTTTGAGAGACCAACCGCAGGAGGGACCCATGAGGTTGATACAAGCATTCAGCGTTGTATCAATCCTCAACTTTTCAAGGACACTGATGGTCGATTAGGATCATTCATAAAGTATATAACAACCGTATGCTAACCCTTACCACCACGGCTTTACGGTCTGTCCCTTGTAGGTTTTTATTGTGAATTTTGTTACATACAGATGGGCTCCACATGTGCTCAGCCGGCAAGGAGTCTTCAGTAGCCCTAGTGACTCGATCATGAATTTCCACTTCCGTGACTTGGCGGAAAAAGGTTTTTTTCTTATAATGACTAATTAATAACGATACTGTTATTAATATATTGAGTTTATGATTACTAAATTGTTTATTAATCCTGGTAAATATTAGACAATAGAAATAGCCACAAAAAGACCCCCTTTCCAAAAGTCAAGGAAAAGGGTTAAACAGTGAAATAAGTAAGACTAATAACAGACTCCTAATGATTTTAAGCACTTGAAAAAGCCATCTAACATCTAATGTGTAATACAATAAAATAGATGTGTAATTACATGGCAATGGCGTTATTCTTGCCTCCGCGCCCGATTACGTTAAGCACACTTGTCTGGACACCAATGCATTTTCTCACTGCCTTATTTTTTCTTAAGTGTGCTCAAGATACGTCATGCTACAGCTTCGTATGTATATTTCGACTGTGTTAAGCTTAGGCGATAAAACTCAGTTTTGCGATCGGAAACAATTAAATTACTTCCTATATTGCTAAAAGACAGATATCTGATATACTATGTCTGACAATTCTCTTCGTTCCGTCCAGTTCATTTTTTAAGCCTCTTGAAAAAAAGCAGTTATACTTACCATATGAAATCACCAGAACATTATATGATGTGTCTGTATAGAGCGTGGAAGAGTCGCCATAGTTTTCCCTCTTTATTCGTTTGCATCTTTTGTAAACTTGGCCTTCGTTTGTCCATGTTTTATTTCAATAGTTGTTTGAAACAAAGACACCTAACTTTTTCATATACACAAGAACTTTATTGGTACATAGTCGCTAACTCAGTAAGTTAGTAATTAGCTGTATACTCATGTAAGATTTTTGATATATACTTTATTTATTGTATCCTACAGGAATAGTAAATCATATAGTATTATAAAATGCTGACTTCCATGCATTAATATTGTTGTGTGTATTGTTACTACAGTTTCTAAATATTCACAAATCCGCGTACTTTTTATGTTGCTTAATTTGAGTGGAAGTGCAGGAAAACTTAGAATCGTCACACTTCCTTTAAATCCATCAAACCAAGAGTGTGAAAAAGCAAAAAAAAATCATGATAATAATAAGAAAAGTCACAGGTGACATCGTGTCTATCGGCCGCCACAAAATTCCAACAGCAGAGGTTCCACCCGCTTGTAACAGAATCCTCGAAAGGACGGCAAAGGAGCTCGCACTCTTTGCAGATCACGGCTGTGGGAGTTAGGAGGCGTTTTGTTTTCCAGCGTGGATGATAGGTTATTCTTTCGTTTATCGTCATGTGCTGTTTTAACCCCTCTAAAATGTTTCACACCTTAACCTAATCGTTAACTTCATTTCTATCCTTTCCTGTCGCAATATTTAATCCTAGTAATATATATCTTAATGTCTAGCACATTATATTTCAGGTGCATTAACCATTTTAGGTGATCTTTAGTGAACAGTTTCAACACTGGTTGTGTGTATTCTATTTCCCTTTTTTTTCTAATCATGACCTGAAAACTGTTCTTGTTCCCTAACCGCATTGGACCCACTGCGCCTCAGCACACACATTCCCCTGATCCACTCCACCTCTGGTGCTCTTCATGCAATTTTCCTCTTATCACCTCCCACATATTATGTATACCCTGTTTACGTTTTACAGCAACCCCTACCACTGTTTTCCTCACTGTTCTCACATCCCCGATCCCCACCCGTTCCCCAAAACCATCTCTCGGAATCCCATACCTTTTTCTTTTAACGACTGATTTCACCTTTCACAGACTAAAATATCTTCAATTTGATCTAATACCTCCCCTATTCCCGAATCTCTCCCATCCTCCTTTCTAACACCTTCAATTTATCTATATATCCCGTCATCTCCCTCTCCTCAAACCCCTTTTCACTACCAAACTACCCTGAAGTATGTTAGCCTCCAATCTTCTTACACACTTTGGCCTTTTCTACCTATGTCTAACCCTTTCCGCACTAACACCATGTCTAACTCCTTTCGTGTTTACAGATCTGATACACTGGGAATGATGTGTCCATGGCGGCACCTCCGCTTTTCATCCGGGATTTGTTCGATATAGAAATTTTGGGTTAATGTACCACTCGGAACAGAGGGAGTTAAAATGTTTCAGAAATTGAATGGTTCTTAAAATGTTATTATTGCCTTTCCTCCGACAATTTGTCGTTTTCATTAGAAGTACACAGTTGTCGCGAACAAATATTATTATTTTTGTGTAACCGAATATTACCAAAAGAACAAATAGATACAGACTGTATCTTGATTGCTAAACAAACTAAAAAAAAAAAAATTTAAAATGGCAAAAGTGTGTATTTTTCATGGTCCTGTAAACCTTTTCTTTTGGTTTGATATGATAAGATACTTGCTTCTCTCTCTCTCTCTCTCGTCCGTCTCTCATCTCTCTCTCCATCCTCCTCTCTCTCTCGTCATCTCTCTCCTCTCTCTCTCTCTCTCTCTCTTCCTCACTCCTCTCTCTCTCTCACTTTCTCTCTCTCTCTCTCTCCCTCTCCTCTCTCTCTCTCTCTCTCTCTCTTCTCTCTCTCTCTCTCTCACTCTCTTTCTCTCGCTCTCTCTCTCCTTTCTCCCTCTCCTCTCTCTCTCTCCTCTCTCACTTCCCCTCTCTCTCTCCTCAATCCTTTCACTTCTTCTCTCTCTCTCTCTTCATCTCATCTCTCTATCATACTCTCTCTCTCGCTTCGACCGCACTCTTTGTTGCACACAACACACATAATACACAACAGCATGATGCATGGACTTTACGTATTGTATGTCTGTAAGTGTGTGTGTGTGTGTTCACACGCACACATACACAAACGTGCGAGAAAGACAGAGAGGAGAGAGTGAGGTGACACACACACACACACTAAACACCTCTCTCTCTCTCTCCCTCTTTCTCTCTCTCTCTCTTCTCTCTCTCTCTCTCTCTCTCCTCTTCCTCTCTCCTCTCTCTCTCTCTTCCTCTCTCTCCTTCTCTCTCTCTCTCTCTATATATATATATTATATATATATAATATATAATATATATATATATATATAATATATATATATGTAAAATAAATACATATATTTTATAATATATAATATAATATATATATCTATAAATAAATATATATATATATATATAAATATATATATAATATATATATAAATATATATATATGTATATATATATATCCATAAATCCATATCTAGTGTAATATATATACATAACATATTTGTAGTGTGTGGATGTTTAAACATCTGCCGTATATATACATATATGTATGTATGTATACATACATACATACATAATATATATATATATATTTATATATATATATACATATATATATACATATATATATATTCTTGTGTTTGTGTGTTTGTGTGTGTTTGTGTGTGTATGTATGTATGTATGTTTGTGTGTGTGTGTGTGTGGAAACACACAATGTTCATGTTTTTTACTTTTAAAAACACATAAAATTCCCAGCCTATCTCTCCTCATCCCGGCCTACAGCAACCAGAGCCACAAGTCATGCAAGACGAACATCTAAACAAGCGTCGGAGGCTGTCAAAATCTGTTTGTGTACAGTGCATGTGGCTGAGCCAGACCTCGCTTTCCTCCACCTCCTCAGCAGCTCGGTTCTCCTCGCGGCTCGCTGCTCCAGGCCGTCTTGATCCATAACCGGTGT